AATTACCATTACCTCTACTAACGAGGAACGATGCTTATTAGTTTTATGTCAATTATCGTTACCGTTAGTAACGGGGAACGATGGTAACGGTAACTGGTAACTGTCACAGCCCTAGTATAGATATCTTTTTTTTTCTTGTGTATTTTTAATACGATCACTTAACATATATTTTGTATATCATTGATTTGGTACCGCTACTACATCCTTTCTTTTTTTCTTATAGTCTATACACGACGAGTTGTTTTTTTTTGCGTTTTTTATACTGTGATTTAGTTTCTGTTTTGTTTGTTATTGTTGCTTTTTTAAAAAAAAGATTTATAGTCGGTTTTCTCTGCATAGAAGTTATTTTATTAACATAAATTAAAAGCATATATAAATATCATTTTTACAACTGAATTTTCTTAGAGTATAAGTTCTTTCATCTGCAAAAAATAGATTGAGCAATAGATTTTTTTTAATTTAACGTGAGAAAGAAAAATCTTGTTGGTAGAATATAACAAAACAAGGATTTTCGAATATAATTTAAAACTTCGAAATATTTGTGCAACGTCCGCTTTTCTCTAAGACTTATTGGTGACATTTGATGAATATTGTAATACTATTGCAAATGTCAGTACGCAACTGTGTCAGGGAAGTGCTGAGTAGTATCGCTGTTAGATGTGATCGATATCTATTGCTACTAAAAAAAAGTGCCACTGACTCGTGAGTTTTGTTCGTAGAAAATCTGGTAAAAGTCATATATCTCTCCTTTCAGTGTTTGATTTACTGTTCCACGCATTTTCCAGATGGTGCGCAATTTGCGCCCAATTTTTTGAGTTTTTCCCGCAATTTGTCTGCATTTTCTGCTTTTGCTGTTTTTCCCCTGTTCATATTAGATTTACAAATTTTTTTCTATCGATTGGGGATTCTCTTCCTTATCCTTCTGCCATGAAACATTTATTTGACGATCAAGAAATCGTATGTCAATAGAAATCATCGCAACTGAGTTAAAAATTCTCTTAAACTCATCGTTATCATGCACTGAAATTTATAATTAGTTCTTATCAACGCCAGAATTATTCATTCTAATCAGAAATATATACAGTCAAAAAGCGTGTCAATTAAAATCGAGATTATTTTACATATCTGTTTGTTGTTCTCTTGTGTTTTATTGAGTAAAATCATAAAGTGCTAACGAAAACATTTTTTTGACTTTCTGCGCGTGAAAAAGAATGAAGTTAGACCTGAAAATGTGTTTCCGTTTTTTTTTACCGCATCGTGACAAAATCTTCCGCATTTTGGAACTTTTATTCTGCATCTCTGACCTGAGCATCTGACAACACTGATTCCAAATTACAACTGAACAGATGGGTAGCGCCCTCTACGAGCGATTTCATCAAACGAGTGGCCGAGCTCCATGAAATGCGTTTATAGCTAACGTAATTTACTTAGATTTTTTACTTTATATTCCTTTATTTCAAGTAAATTTAATTTTAGTTTATATACAAAGTTTAAATTGATTGACAGATGCCATTGTGGAGTTCTTATCACAAGCTAGCGACATGGTGATTGTGACTGCAGCTACATGCATTGACAGAACAGACCGCAATAAAAAAACACTACACTTTAGTCATAGTAACGCTGTAGTATCCCCTTGCGAAAAAAGCGTGATGCTATAACGTTTTTACCATATTTATACCTCATTTTCTAGGGTGACGTAATCATGTGAAAAACGTCGGGTTTTGTCACTAGATATGATAAAAAAGCGTTGTTTTTTTGATAATGAGACGGATGGTCGCGAAAAAAGCAAATTGACTGCAAATGACTTATTTGTGAAGGAGTTTACTTTTCAATTTTTTGTTGGGACTTTATCGTGAAACACGAAGTTACTGAATACTTGACTAAGACGGTTCGAACGATTGACTCACTTACATTGAGAAAATATGGGTGATCCAAGTAAAAATTCCTGAGAAGTAGAAATAGTACTGTAAATTGGGGTGCAGGGGTGTAATCGATATCAAAAATGCGATACCGATCACCGGTATACAAACTTCGGACCGACCGGTTTACCGGTCGATATCGGCTTGTCTGGATCATGTTTTGCCTAAATACAAATATTTTTTCTTTGTTTTTCTTTATTGTGAACTTTATTTACAGTTATTCAGAATATGAGGCAGTTGAACTAAAGTCTAAATTAGTATTTTATTAATTGATGATACAAATATATACAAGAGAAGTTTGATTTTTATGTGAATTCAAATACAAAAGCTAGAATAGAAAAGACTATATTCTGTATATAAGTCGACAAAGTTTAAGTAATTAGAATGAAATTTTAGAAGAAATATGTTACAGATGAACTGAATTTACACGATGTTTTTCGAAAAATTGTATCATACCGCAAAATACCAACAATATCGACCGACTGATTATACTTCATACTAATGCCGGTATACTGGTTGGTGTTATAATTCATACCAGTACCGGTTGCACTTCTAGTGAAGTGTCACTATAAATAGAACGCGTAGCCGCATCATTTTGTTTTTGAACTTATTCTACAAAAATATTATGTAGTTTTCTTTCAGTAAGAAGAATGTAGTATTTCAAAAGTAGAATATTTGAAACATGTGAACAATAAATATATATAGAAAAAAATGTTGTTTTCTATCTTAAACTTATTTTTCTTCATTTTTAAAAACTTTTTCATGTCTGTCCATAAGCAAGCCGTTGAAAAAAATTGAAGTTTGTCCATTGACAAGTCCATTTAATACAGATCTCTGCTTATTTTAAAACAGAACATTTTTTTACTACTATCTCTGTACTATAACCATGACTTAATGGTAAGCACTTTTTGCTCCAGGTTAAGTATGAGAGGAAATTTCAAGAAAATGACGTTTTTCTAAGTGTTTATTATTGATATTCGTCTAAATGTTGGTTCTTTTTTATTTTGTTTCTTTCCAGTTTATACTCCTTTATTTCATTCAAATGTTGCCTTGGAAGAAAAAAATAGTTCTAATATAAAGCTTTTTTTACTTTTTTTATGATTATACGGAACGAATAAAAAAAAGAAAAACCACAAATCTGTTTGTTTCACATATAAGACTTTTTCATTCTTTCTTGTTAATTTATGTACTTCGTATATATAACTATCAGAGTCAATATCTTATTTATGGTGAAATATAGCGATTAAATTTATCGAAGTTTTTCATCTTTTTTAAGTGAAAAAAGTTATTTGAATGTACATGTGTTTTGCATGCACGTATAGCTATTACTTTCTCTTTTTTTTCGCATTTATGATTCAATATCATGTGTAAAAACAAGGAGAAAAGAACATTGTTTTTATATTGACTTTTATAGACAAAAAATTCTATACGTATAACACACATTCATATGTTAACCAATTACCGGCTTCTTGTCTTTATTTTAGATTATTTATTTTGCTTTCGTTTATTTTTGTTTTCATTCTGTTGTAATTACTATGTAAGTCTATCAATTTATTTGAATTAAGCGGATAATTCATTGTTTTTCTCATACTTTTAGTTAAAATAAAGTCAGCAATGAATGCGTTATTAGTCAATATTTTTGGAATGATTTTTGTTTATCTAACTGTAATAGCTACAGGTAAACGCAATTTTTAACATGAAAAATCTTTCATAACAGTTAGTTTATTACAATGCACTTGAAAATATATCAACTATAACTATGTTGTTCACTTTTTACTGATATATTTGAAAATATATTGAAGTACTGTAAACTCAAATTATTTTAAATTATTATAGTAACTTTTTTAAATTAGACTTTAAAATCAAACAGCCATATTTTAGCAAAATAAATCCTTTTGTTTTCTCAGAACGAAGCTAATGGTAGAAACTTTTCAAGAGAGTATTTAGTTTCACAAATAAAATGCTTCACCTTACTAATACAATTTGAGTCCTGTATTTTTGTCTTAGGAAAAAGCTTTGTGTTTTGTTATAAAATCCTTCTTATCTTATTAGTCGTTAGAGGTAGGAAAAAAATATCTAAACACTAGTATGAACTTTTCGGGTACTATAAATTTATTCTGTATTCATATTTGGATTTCTAATCTAAATTGTTATTCTATTGATAGCTGTTTTTCTTCTGAGAAAGGCAGACAATGATTTGAACTGAAAATATCAAACTCATATTTATTTCTCGTCTTACTTTAGTTTATTGTATTGATTTACATGGTGAAACATTGACCAAAGAGGAATTGATTGCACTCACTCGCGATCATTTAGGACGTCAAGATCCTGATGCTCTATTGAATGGATTTTTTCCAGTTTGGGCAACTATACAATTCTGTTTGGCATGTACGTATAATCTCTTACCAATTCTGGATTGCATTTTTCTAATTTTCTTTCCTTTTGCTGTCTTTCAGGTTTCTTCTTCGTCATGGCCATACTAAGCTTTACATGTTATATCCTTGGTTGTCGTACACCACAGGAAGACCAAATTAAACGAGCAAACTAAATAAAATATTACTAATATAGTGACCTTTCTTATTTTTTTTTCAGGCTTTCTCTATTAAAGAAGATCTGAAAAATCTCAATTCAACGTTTTTATTAGTTGTTTTGAGATAGTTTCTTCTCTGATTACATTAATTGTATTTTTAACAGCTCATTTCTTTTGTAGGCTGTATTCTACATATTTTTTATAGAAAAATATCTTTCACTTTTACACAGATAGTTAAACCCTGAATGATCCTTTCTTTTAAAGTACAGTGTCTCATATTTTCTCACTCTCCTGTTCTTTTAGTTTTGTCAATAATGTAATTTGTAGTTTGTTTTTGATGTTGACCGTTTTTCGTCTTATTTGTGGTAGTAGTTTTTAATTAATATTATAAATGTTTAATAATAATTTTAACAGCAAGTAAAATTAGTAATTTTCGTCAAGTTACAATCAATTTCATCAACAATTTGATTAAAGTTCCAGTTCACAGTTAAAAAAATACTTGCTTTTTATGATTACTTAATGTCCAGAATAGTTAGATTTTGTTTTTTATAATATTATAGACTGTTGCTATCTTAAATCATAGGACAAACTCGATGAGAAGTGATGGTAAATTTGCTAGACAAATTACAATAGTGTGCTCAATATTGAAATATACTAAAGGTGACAGATAAAGCAATAACATTTTCCAACGGTTTATTACAGAAAAAGAAAGCTCATACTATCGCATCTAAAGAAAACCGATGATGTCCTAACACCCGAAAAAAGCTATTTTTTCAGCGATAATGTGTGATCCATGTGCGTTTAGTGGAAAAGATCCATCAAGTGTACTCTTTATCATAGCTGAATGCAAATTATGCAACATTCTATCTACACGATGTTACAATCCGATGCACATAGCACAGGTGGGCTTGTCCACGTAAAAGTGAACTTTTACGTAGGTCCGTAACGGTTTGCAAAAGTCATATATCTTTAGCCGAGCAACGTACACACTTAAGAAACGTCTTATTTTGTAGCATAAAGATTTTCTTTCAAATGGTAATTCAGCAAAGTCTACCAGCTGACTATTTTAATTGACATAATGTTTTTGGTGTATACCACCTTCGTACAAAAGGGCCTTATTGGCACGAATTGTAGACACGTGTTTAGGGTAAAGCTAGACTTTGCTTAATTACCATTTGAAAGAAAAATCTTTAACTACAAAATCAGATATTCCTAACTCTGTACGTTGCTCGGCTGAAGAGATATGACTTTCGCAAAACGTTACGGACTAAGGTTTTGGTTGGTACAATTGGGCAGGCCGAGGTCTTCATCACGGATGAGAACTGGAACCCACTGATACATTGGCATGTACCGCTTCCGATTCTCACCGTTGGAATCGGAATGATCAATACCGAAATCGGCTGGAACTGGTCAGAATCGAAAATTTTTTTTTATTTTTCAATTATTTTATACTAAATAAAGCTCATAAAGAGACACTTCCACATGTGTATGTGCTATAACACATTACCACAATTCCACTAACTCGACAAAACCTGATCTTTTTCGGTTCTCACTGGTTCCAACTGGCTCTGGTTCTAGGGCATCGGTGCATGCCTATCGATACACTTTTTTTTACAGTGAGACAACTAACAGTTTTAGATATTTGGTCCATTCTTTAAACTTTTGCATTTAGCCATGGCGCAATATCTCTCCTTTAGTTGCGGCATTGTTTTCTTATGAATTAGACTAAAAGATAAAGCAAAAATAAAAGGTATAGACCGTACACAATTCCAATTAAAAAAACTATAACCTAGTATGGTTTAAAATGACTCCTGTTCTTAGTTTAAGGGTATTTATATGGTACAGGAGACTTTATATTTGTCAACGATAATTTTCTCTGTCAAAATTGATGATGAAAACCATGACTGATGTACGCTCTTGAACAAAAGTTTATAACGTCTGAATCAACCAGATAATGCTCAGAAGATCACGCAGCCCAACATACATCCTTCGATCAAAGTATAATGCTTAGTATATCGACATTTTTCTTCTCGCAAGGACAACGAGTGTAGAGAAGTCAGAGACGGCACCCGATGATCGATTTTCAGATTTTATCAAAAAAATACCTGTTGTTGTGAGTAGATTTGTACCAGTATCTACATATTTTACTGTTAAGCCAGAGATAAAGCTAGACGTCCGAAATTGTAGCTGGGAAATTAAAAGCACCCCAGAGTATTTGTATAACTATGTTTCGTTGATCTTTTCTCTTGCTCTCGTTGAACTTAGGACTTGATTGACATTTTTCATTAGACAGACGTCGATGTAATACGTAAAGTCATATGGGGTAATAATGTTCAAGATTATCTCCAAATACTTCGGTCAGAGCTAAGCCATCAGGGGTCGATGAACAGTGACATAACCACGTAGATAGATCGAACTCTTTGCTGTTCACTGATACAACAGCCTTCGTGAAGGATAGAGTAAATTGGGGTAATTCTGGACAGTTGATAGAAGCTCTCTGGAAATTGATGAGTACTAATCAATCTTATTGAACTTTAACAAATCTGTCTTCAAACGGTGTGGTTTCGTCGAGAAACTGTAAAGAAACTATTAAAAATTGACTGACATGAAAAGAATTTTCATTATACACATTTTGCTCTTTTAAGTAATGTTCGCACTACAAAACTGAAGTGTTAAATAAGCTTTAATGTTATTTGTGACAGAAATATAAGCAATCAAAAATGTGCAAAATTGCGAAAAAATAATCGATCATCAGTTATTTTTTAGTGCAATTTAGTGCATTTTCAATTTATCATATTTTCTCTACATATAACATTAAAACTTATTTAACACTTCAGTTTTGTAGTGCAAAAATTTCTCTGCAAAATGAGACATTCCGCAGCTCTGAGAAATTTTTTTATAACCGATTCACAACCATTTTTCTGTGTACTCTGATGTCGATGATTAATCGATGCATACCTAAGTGACAACAAAAAAAGCCAGTTTAGCAATTTCTTTTTCGATGGTTCGGCTCACCGAGAGGTACGCCATCATTGGAATCAGTGAAGAACAACAAAGATACAATAAGGATGGTCTAATCTGTGTAACAAATGGCGTTTGATTTCATTTTACTATTTTCGGATGTACAATATGTATTTAGCCATTCTCAACTCTAGTGAATGTTCTTGAGCAAAACACTCACGTAAGTACTTGAGTTAAGTGATGATGACAGTACTTCTGGATTTTTTCAAATAAATTTACTTGTCAAGTACTTGTCAAACACTCGGCGGACCCAATGTAAATAAATTTACTTGAAAAAATTTAGCCAAGTGCTTGTTTCATTTATCTTTATTTCGTACGTATTCTACAGCCATACTCTACTTTTGTAGAGCAAACACATGCGTAGGTACCAAGTTTGTTCAATTGAGTAGAAATATCGAAATTTATTTTCTAAATTTTCTAAGTTTATACCGATTGATATTGTGACGTTAATACAGCTTGTCAAGGTGAAATAAAAGAGTAATTGACCCGTCCAAGTACTTAGCTAAAGCAAATCAAGTGACGATACTCGGCGAGTACTTAGATAAGAATTTGGTAAGTAAAAATATTTGCCAAGTTTTTGTTCAAGTGCGCGGAAACTTGTCAAGTACTTCACAAGTACTCGACAAATAATCAAGTACATTCACTAGAGAAGTTGTTTATTTTGCACATTGTGAACCTTTTCTATTCATAATCAATGAAACCAGACCTATATCTAAAACTTTTAATAAGGCTCAAAATTTATTTGCCATTGGAAGTAGTATGAATGCTTTTGTGCATAGAAATCGACACAATTAGCTTCGCCTTACTCCAAATATGATCATTTTTTATCAAAGTTTCAGATATTTCTTTAGTTTGTAATTTCCTAAACAAAAACAGTCAATGGAAGAACTCTTCATAATAGAGCGCAATATGTACCTTGATTTAATTTCCGCATCAAGTACTTTTTCAATTTTACGACGATTTTCATCTGCTTGTTGTTCAATTAGAATGATACCATCATTTAATTTTCTTAACGTTTCGGCACTTTTTCTCATTGTTTCCTAAAAACCAAGAAAAATTTGTTCAAAATTTCTTGATCAATAGAACTGAAGTTTGAAAGTGTTCTATTAAATGAGAAGTATATAAAATAAGTCTAGTTGATAACTATGTATAATATTCCACTGTAATACCCTTATTTCATTATTTGTTCTTGCTCGTTCATCATTTATCATTAGATCGTACACCTACATCGTTCGCAATCTATACAACATGGAAGAACATCAGGTCTTTTATGAACATATAAAATAGAGCGCGAAAATGTAATTTAAAGATAATATTATTTATTTGTAGTTTTTCATAAACAAATTGAGTTGAATAATCTTTTTAATATTTGACTATTCTGTTGTATCATTCATGACAAATCAATTAACAAGACCATGTACTTTGGAATTGGAAGATAATAAACAACCAAATTTTCGTGCATTGTATCCGATTGCTGGCGAAGCAGTGAGTGAAAGTGAATCAGAAAAAACAGAAGAATATCAACTAGATAAATCAACATCATCATTGGATATTATTGATTTTATACTTGTCTATGAAGAATCAATTAATCCGGATAATTCGACACAACTGGAACGTGCACAAAGAGAATTACGTCGAATATACGAAAATAATTTAAAAATATTAAAATTAATATTAAATTATCGTCGAATACCGTTGAAATATAATCGTCAACGAGTATTCGTGTTAATCACTACACCATTTGATTCTCTATTAGAAATGGGTGAAAAATCACGTTTATATTTACCCATTGATCGTATTAATTCATTTTTAAGACATTTAATTAATTATCCACCATTAACCTTTGGTATACCAAAATTTTTTCTACCAGATCCAATTGTATTCAATGAAAATAACAAACGATCTTTGTATATTTTTCATCCATATTCAAAAAATGTACATCAGAAATTTGCTAAACATTTTGATAGTTATAATTCAAAAGACGGTCTATTTACATTAGGTAAATAGAATTACTGACATCAATTTGATTACAGTCATTTTATTATTTTTTATTACTTAGGAAAAATATGATTAATTCAGATAGACCATTGCCTATTATTGTTTAGCTCAACGAACAAGATTAACATATGAAATATTAATTCGTATACCTACCATTGTTAAAGTAACACGTCGAACTACACAAACTGATATTGATGCTGAAAATTTAGTACAATTAAAAGAGAATACAAATAATTTAAACGAACAAGATATTGACGATAATAGTAGTATGTCAATTGATGAGATCATACAAATAATACAAACATTCATCAAACAATCAAGTAAAAAATCATTTCAACTTTCGCAAAATAATACGAATGGTATTCATTTTCTAATTAAAATAGGTAAAAAACAAATTTTTGCTACTTATATTGTAAAACTATTTACTGTTTTTTTTCTCCTTCTATAGGCGTGTATTTAACAGCCTATAGTGCTCATGAACATTTTCGTCCGAGTCTTCGTCAATCAACTCAAGAACAAAAAAGTATTGCCTCATTTAGTACAAGATTAGAATCTGAAACTAATGATTTTAATACTCGTGAACTTCTTTATTTGCATTGGGCTCAAATAAAACATGTAAGTTTAGTTTATTAAATCATATAGATACACATATTCATTTCATTTTCAGATTTTCAAATTACAACCTTTAGATTTAATACGAGCCTATTTTGGTGAAAATGTTGCACTATATTTTTGTTATTTAGGCTGGTAAAAAAAAGGTTTTTTCTTTTCGTGTTGTTTTAATAGATGGATAACTCATAAAAAAAACGAGCCACTTTTATTTTCTATTCAACGACTAATCTTTGTCAAAATATTTTGCCTAATACTTTATCAATGATTATGGATGATCTCAAAATGATGGATCATTTCTGTAGGAATGTACCAAACCCTGAGATCTAACGTCAAAGATAGTCTAATTTTGATATTCAGAACTCCCAGCTAATTTTGATATTAGAAGCTCTACCGAGCTTCTATATTAAAATTAAACAGTTTTCTTTGCTCTACCTAAAACTAGTGATAGAATTGATGAAATTGAATAAAAAGATGCTGGGCTTGATCGAAATTCCAGAGAAATGGTAATTTTAGCCAACAACTCTGCACTTCTCTACCTGTTTTTTTTCCGACATACCACACAGTTCTAACATGCCTTTCTCGATATAGCAGATGGAGAATTCTGTGCTTTACGAAATCCAGTATGTTGCACACCTACACTCTATTCTCAAATTTGTCGCTACATGAAAGGGCTAATTTTCGTTGTGTACTAGAATTCTTTGCAGTCTTGATGATATATGGGTAGATAGTATAGTTAGAAAGATTGCAAAAGAATCCACCGAACTTTTTTGTATACAACCTCCCCGTCCAGTTTTCACATTATTTTCAAAAAAGATTACATAAATGTCGAAAAATCACTAACATTTTGACTAAACGTTCTAGGCACTAGTTCTTGACTATCTTTTCTCTGAAATTCAGAATCTAAATTATTTTTCCAAATAACGAAACAATTTCTGAATATCGGATACAAAGGATTCGTGAGACCGAAAAGTTTTCTATCTAATGCGTGTAGAATGATAACAAAAACTTTAGTTCAATGTCTCAAAAAACAAAGAAAATAAAAGTGGCCTATTCTTTATGCACCAACCGTTAGTGTCAACATTTTAAAATTTTCATAGGTATACATCAATGTTATCATTACCAGCATTGATTGGATGTTTTGTTCTTGGTTATAGTATTATAAATACCTTCTTTGATGTACCAACACAGGAAATTTGTAGAGGTCAGTTCACAAAAAACATGTACATTTTTTTCTAGAACAAAATTCTTATTTATTTTTAATTTTAGGTAATATTACTGACTATCTTTGCCCACAACAAACACGATCTGAATTTATACAAATACAAGAGATGTGTTCGACGAAACGTTTTGCAACAATATTTGATAATTATGCTACACAAATGTTTGGTGTTTTTATGATGATGTGGGTATTATGTTTAAGAAAATTTTGGCAACGATATTTAGCAAAATTTCAATATCAATGGTGTGCATGTATGTTATGAATTGCTATTCTATTATCAATTGAAATAAAACAGTTAATAAGAATGTGTTGTTTTTCCATTTAGATGAAGATGAAAGACGACATGAAATACCACGTTCAGCATTTTTACTGCAAAGTACAGCAACTCGATTAAATCCATCAAATGGCATTAGCGAAGCCTATATTCCAAAAATGACACTGTATTTTTGTCGTTCATTATCTATTTTAGTTACATTTACATTTATTTGTTTGGCTTGTATAAATATCGTGATATTGATGTATTTGAGATTAAAATTATTTGATTCATTTTTAAAATTAAATTTAAAATGGTTAAATAAATATTTATTCATTATTGTTAGTATAATAACATCGTCGATTAGTTTAATAATTAGTATTATATTAGATTTTGTTTATGATATTGTGGCAACATATATGACAGAAGTTGAACGGCATCGTTTACAAACACACTATGATGCATCATTAACATTAAAATTGTTTATATTTGCATTTATCAATTATTATGGTACTATAATATATACAGCCTTTTTTAAACCATTGATTAGTAATTATCCTGGTCCTGGAACGGACACTAATCTAGTATTTACTGAACAACTTGAAACATGTGGTGAATTGACCGGATGTGCTTATGAAGTAACAATTAGTTTGCTAATTACTTTGATCGGTAAACAACTAGCTAATACGATTGTTGAATATTTTGATACAAAAATCACAAATATACTTGTTTATTTTCGTTATCATAAAAATGAATTAAGTAAAAATGAATTTGAACTACGAACACCATCATCAATCGGTAGGACAGCAAATAACTGCAAGTACGTTTGATATTAGCCATAATTTATTTATAGAAAATGATAATGAAAATTTAATTAATGATGATCATTCTCATCATATTAATTTATTTAAAACAGATAAATTGAATGAACATCGAGAATGGGAAACAGATATCTATTTGCAACATTTCGGACGTAATCAGTTGTATAATGAGTACATTGAGATAATGATTCAATATGGATTTATTGCTATGTTTTCATGTGCACTACCAGTAGCTCCATTGTTAGCAATGGGTAGTAATCTGTTCGAAATACGAACAGATGGAGCTAAATTATTATTCGATTTAAGACGACCATATGGTGATTTAGCTACAGGTTACTACTATTTCTATAGTCAAACGTTTTCTAATTCTTTAACTCTATCTGTTTTATTTTAAGGATTAGGAATATGGGATGCTATTTTTGATGCTATTAGTAAAATAGCACTATTAACAAATATACTGTATTTAACAATAACATGTGATTTATTAACAAAAATAAAATATATAAATACGATTCATAAACAAAATTTAGATGGTTATATAAATTGGACATTATCTTCACTTGCTGTGAATGATATTGATTCTATATATAAAAGTATCATTTATCCATATCCCAATTTAACATATTGTCGATATCGTGATTTTCGTTATTCACCAAAAGATTCTATTGCTGCATGTTTATCTTTAACTAATGAAACTAGTCCATACGATAGAAGAACACTTTATTATGAAATACGATTAATTCAATTTATAACAACATTTTTTGCTATTATTGTTGTATTTATGATCTATTATTTAATGAATTTATTCATAAAAGATAAACCACGTCTAATTCGAAATGTTCAACAACGAGAAGAATTATTAGCCGAATATACATTATGGGCAGATCAATCAAAAAATAAGACCATCAAAAATATACAAAAAATTCCAAGACTGTCTGATTTAGGTTTAGAATTTATTGATAAACGAAAGATATCCTAAATATATAATTATTAATTGTACTTCTAACGATAAACTATCTCAATAGGATTCTAATACTATAAAAACAACTTCGTTATATCTTTCAGACCAAATAAAGACTCGTCATTCACCATGAAACACGTCTACTTTCACAATTAAGTTTTTTTTTATCATCTTCAAATACATTATTCGAACTGCAGTGGAAGAAAATTTTATGAATTTTATTTTACACGTGTGTAATACATCTGAGTTTCTGTTACTACATCGTTTTTCGTTATTCCAAACCAAACGGAAATGATAAATACGTTTCTGATGAAAATTACAATGTTATGCTAAAGATATACAGACTAGACTTCATTGACTTGCAAATTACTAGAGAGACTAAAATGTGTACATTGAAAAGTCTTTCCATGTTAGTCAATTTTTATTAGTTTCTTTACAGTTTCTCAACGAAACCACACCGTTTGAAGACAGATTTGTTGCACTGACCATAAGTATCCCAAAAATATGATCATCTGACGAAGTCGGAGTGAAAGTCAATAATTTCATAATGCTCGTCCTGGTTTAGAAATGAGTTAACCTAACCATCCTGACTGTATAATTTAGGCAAGATTGTTTATTCTCGCTCATTGAAACAGATTAATAAATGTGGACAGACAAGCATCATGATGGCTAAAAAATGGTAAACACATGTATTTTATCATTAAAAAAATGAGTATTTTGTTATCTGACTATAGATTTTCCAGTACGAAATTTTATTGGTTTTCCTCATCAGAAAAGACTCTAAAATAAACAAAACTGCTCACTTTTGAACAGTTTATTATGAAATATGCTGTATTCAACTAAACTTTATCGCTCAATAAAAAATTCGGAGTAGTTTTACCTACTATATTTAACAAGCAAGCCTTCTCGGTCATCTGCTCTAGATATTCTAATTTATTTAACTAATTTTATAAATAATTGTCTTAGAGATAAAAAGAAATTAATAGGAGCATGAGCGTCATTTGATTTTAAAAGGACATTTTATAAAGTTCCACATCAAATTCTTTCAGGAAAATTATCACATGCTGGAATTCATGGAGATCTGTACAATTGGTTTGCATCTTATTCATCCAACCGAACACAAGTACTTTTCGTAGGAACTGCTGTTGGCAGAAGAGTTACCGTTACATGAGGAGTGCCCCAAGGCCGTATTTTAGGTTCAACTCTCTCTTTGATCTTTATTAATGATCTTCTGACTTCTCTGGAAGCCACAAAACTAACTTCTCTTTTCACCGACAATATCTTCTGTGTTGTGGATCTTGAAAATGCAAATTTCAGCGCAGTTCAAGAATGTATGAACGAAATATCGACGTGGTATGAGATGCCAGTGGAACTTAATGCTAATAAATGACAATGAATTGTTTTCTCTACTGCTTTTTCCAGTATAAAATAAATTAAGTGAACTGAAAATAAATGGCATTTCGCTTGAGAACATTTCTTTTTTAAAATTGCTTGGAGTACCTTGCGTTCACAACAGTGTTTCTAATGAGAATTGTAATCAAAATGGATTGAACCACTTTGCTCTGAAGCCTAAAGTGGCACTAACCACTTTGTGCTAAACTCCAAAGTGGTCTCGAATAAAGTATCAGCAAGCAGCGTTTATAAAACTGTTTTCTGCTTGGGTTCTAAAACATGGACCTTTCCAGTGTTTCTAATGAGAATTTTCAGCAGAGCGTACACAAACGTGGTAATTAATAAGATCAATCATGATGGCAAAACTAGAGAAGAAAACAAAGTGGAAATTTTAGAAAGCAAAGTGGTTCGCAACGTGGTTTTTTTTACTTTCAAAGTGGAAAACAGAGTGGATTTCATTTTTACAAAGTGGAAGATCACTTTGCTCTCACAGGGACCACTAATCATTAGAAACACTGGTTCACAATCTACCTTGAAAAGAACACATTAACCAAACCGCTGCTAAATGCAGAAGGATCTTAGGTTCTATCGCTAGAATATTTGGCATCGCGCCACTATATCTTCGTCTTCATCCAAAGTATGCGTTAGGCTGGTTCTTGAATAGGCTTGTGGATACTTCTGCAGATTGATCACACACATAAACAGAAAACAGCGTTTGTAGAATGAATAACCCGTACACGATTGGCTGATTACGGGCGAATCATTAATAAAACAGTATGTTTGTTTATTTTAGCTTGAAATATGGTCATAATAGCAGTTATTGCTTAGTGACTAACGATAATATTTTTGAATGGCTAATTACGTTAATCGTCAGATTAAATACACTCGAACAACTCCTAAGTAGTTAAAATAATTCTGTGGCTACTGTACTTTTTCTTGAGTTACTGCTCCAATGTTAAATAAAGAATATAACGGTTCAATCCCTTCTGCCATGGGAAAGAGTCGATTTTCTTAAAGAATTTATTCTGAATAACGAATAAATAGTCTTGATCAGAAGGTAATTCATTATAATGATCGGAAATATCTTTTATCAGTTAGTTTTCACTGACCTTGAAATGGAATTATAAGAAAGAAATATCAAATCGATTTTCATTAGTAGTGAATATCAATAAGTAATACATTACATTCTGTACCTATCTCTCGAGGCATATTCCAGTACAACTTTAATTATAAGTTTCACTCTTTTCTAATAAGAGAATATAAATGTCTTTTACACTTAATCTGCAACATTACACATCTTTCCACATCCATTCATAATAGAGAAAATTTTCTTTATTAACTCACACTATCATCGTCCTCTGACAAAAAATTCACATTTTAATTTTGAGATATAGAGGTCAAATGGAGGTACCAAGGAGGCGTGGATCTCAACGGATGATTACCGTTGATGACTTACCCCATTCGTAAGTTTCCACTAAATACTTGATATTTACATAAAGAACCATCGAAATATAACTCTTTCTAGCGCAGTACCATCTTCTTCATCTCAATTAGTTCCATTAGCTGATAATAGATATTCGACGTTATTGCCTCCGATTGGCTCTCAATCATTGCCTGATCAATCGTTTCGATTTCGTCCTGGAAATCAACAAATACCGTGAGAAACTAGACATAAGTCATCTACATTTGCCATCATGTTTAAATACGAAGTCTTTTAAAGATTTGACGAATCTATCAATCAATCATTGTACAAAATTAAACAGTTGGAAAGTCGATTGCAAGTAACAGAAATATCAAACCGAACTTTATTAGAAGAAGTTATTCGTTTACAAACAGAACTATTCACTGCGGTAATATAATCATGTCTGTAAAAGTACATATCTGATCATATTCATTTGTTATAATTTTTTTCTAAGGTTCGTCGAAGTCAAGATATTTTACAGGAAGAACGTTTATCACGACAACAAATTGAGAATAATGTTCGAATTCAAAATGATGTTATTCTACAACTGACATCAAGAATTAAACGTAATGAAGATACGTTTAATGATGAACATCAATCGTATCAGATAATCAATTCAAATGTTAAAGGACTTGAACAAAATATAATGTCGATTCAAAAAGAATATTTATTAAGACGAGACACTTATACATATAGGTATGAGGAGAAAGAGAGTCGAGTTTTCTCTCATAATAATGCATTTTCTGTTTAGTGTTGAAGGACTTCGAAAACAAATCGATGATTTAAATCAACAGCGTGAAAACTTGGAAAAAATACAATTGAATATGATTGAAGATATCCGTTCGATGCGAAATAGAATGGATATGGATTCTGTTAGTGTTCAGTCGTTTTCGCAAGAATTAAGACAAAAAACCAGAAAGCTAGATGAAGATACTCGTACAATGGTAGATATTAGCTACTGCCGATTTCAAAAGCGTGATGCAGCCGATCTGTTGTTGAATAATGTTTGACTAAAAGAGGAGCGAGTTATGCAGCTGTCACGTCCTGTATAGAACACCAAAAGACATAATTCTATAGAAAATCAAATTATGAGATAGAGTCTATATTGATACTCTGAAATCATCTAACCCATTTTGGGTTAACTATGAATTTTCTGTGACAATACAGGATACGAGTTTTTCATCTAAAATAGATTTTCAATTTTGTTTCTACGGAACATTGCCATGAGATTTAGTTTGATAGAAAACCTATTTTTTCATGTATTGTCGATGAGACCAGAGACTTTGGAGCATATCCACTCTAGGACTCCTAGAAAAATCTGCGCCATTCAATAATATTGATAGATGAAGATCTTGAAAGTGCGTAGATTGTCATAAGAAAGTCCAGTATTTCGAATTATCGTGATAGAATTGAAGATCCATTGTTTTTTCATGGATTTAGCAGCAATTTACTCTTTTAAAGACACATCAGGCCCATTATCTGTAGGTGGTATTTTCACATAGAATCATGTCTCGTCATGTCCTTCCTCTACAGAACGGCGAAAGGCGCGTGACTCTTTCTTCTTTTAATCAAATGCTAATCAAAACATGACAGATTGGATCACGGTTTGATCATAGTGGCTATAGAAGTTTTTAATACTCCTTTTTTTCTCTGTTTAGGAAAATTTACTTCGAAAACAACAAGAAACGATTAATGCTGGTGACTTATTATTCAATTCTTTTCGCAATGCTACTGAAATGAAGTATGTTCGACTTCTACTTTGAGAATTGCTCTACTTATGCGTTTATCTTTTTAGATTAAACGAATTTCGTGATGCCATAGGCGAAACACGAAATCGAATCGATTTTGATAGAGAGGATCGTCGTTTAGTTGAAACACAATTGGCATCCAAGTATATTCATTAGGAAAAAAAAGTCTTCATTGAAATATCTTCTTTTTCTTGTTTTCTAGAGTAAATGATGTGCAATCATCGTTAAATATTACACGTTCAACACAAGCAGATGCCTTGAAAACCGTTGAAAATATTCGACGTGAAATCACTAATCAAAATGAGCAGATACAAACTAAATTAAGACAAGAAATGAATGATATTGCAAGTCAAATAATGTTGAGAACAACAGATAAATTAGAGCGTTTAAAAGATGATATTGATTATAAATCAAAAGAATATGAAAAGGTAAAACTATTTGCTTCCTTTCAGCTGAAAGAAGTTGAAATCTAATTTTTGTTCCTTCAATTATTAAGACATTAAGTTTGGAATCAGAGCAACGTCAACGTCAAATCCAAGGGGTTCAGGTGGAACTGGAAAATCAATTAGATATGCTGAAAGTGACGATAAATGATGAACAAGCAAGAACAAATAATGAAATGAGGGTATTACAGTGGAATATTATACATAGTTATCAACTAGACTTATTTTATATACTTCTCATTTAACAGAACACTTTCAAACTTCAGTTCTATTGATCAAGAAATTTTGAACAAATTTTTCTTGGTTTTTAGGAAACAATGAGAAAAAGTGCCGAAACGTTAAGAAAATTAAATGATGGTATCATTCTAATTGAACAACAAGCAGATGAAAATCGTCGTAAAATTGAAAAAGTACTTGATGCGGAAATTAAATCAAGGTACATATTGCGCTCTATTATGAAAAGTTCTTCCATTGACTGTTTTTGTTTAGGAAATTACAAACTAAAGAAATATCTGAAACTTTGACAAAAAACGATGAGAAATTTAGTTATCAAGTTGGTAATATTCAATCCTCTTTAACAGCTGTTAATCAACGATTAGCAGAAATGAGAGATTTGGTGAGCAAATTGTCTTTTCTCATCTCTGAACGATAAAATTTTCTTGTTATTTTTTGTTTACAGAGTAATAAACCTGAAATAATTAATTTAAATCGCCGATTGGAACTCTCTGAAAACGCTCATCGTGATTCTGAATTACATTTACGAACACTATCAGGAAGAATTGATGAAATGACTGTGAAACAAACAAATGTTGAGACAAAATTACGTAATACAGATGAAAAACTAAAAGACGATGAAGCTTTTGTACGTGATTTATCAAGTAAATTTTCTATGTTGCCAACCGTCGATGATCTTACAAATGTCAAACATGATATAAGTGAAAAAGTATGATTTTATTGCTGCTTCTTGCTTGCATGTCGTGATTTTATCGTTTATAAGCTATACTGATTTAATGTATGCTTATTGTGCTTGCTATTTCAAAGTTTCGAATCGATGTACAAAAGTCTCTTCAGCATCATGAAGAAACACTTTTGCAATCAATAGCTAAAAATGAACAACGTGTTAATGGCGTACGCGTTGATCTCAATGTATTAGAAGAACAGTTAAATCAGAAAATGAATAGTGTAAGTTTTTCTCATAGTATAAGTACAATTTTCAAACACTATAAAGTTAATTTTGGTTCTATAGATAGCAGATATTTTGGAAGTAAGTGTTAAGTATATAAACACAAACTTTAGATGATCGATACCCTCTCCTTTTCCTCAAATATTTTCTTTGTCTCATATAACAGTCTATAACTATGGGCTTTTTGTGAGAATTTTACTTATCATACAATATTTTTGAATTTGTTTCTATAGAGTGAACAATTGTTACAAAGTCAAATGCGAGAAAAACATAGCGATCAAGATTTATGGAAACGTGAAGTTGATCAAAAATTATCTCGTCTAACAACTATGAGAGATACACTTCCACAGGAGGTAAATATATATGAGAAAAACTGTTTGTAATGAGTTTGGACGCTCATAGTTATAAAAGAAAACAAACTCTCTTTGAGTTTCCTCGAATTGTTTGGAAATTTTGTATACCTAACTGTGAAATATAATATTTTTCAGATCTTTAATCTCAGTGAAAAACTATCGTATACTAGAAAAGAGTGTATGAAATTTTCGCAAGATGAAGACTTCAAAACGTAAGAAGAGACTATTGCCTACAAAAAGTATGTCAGTTGAAAAATTTCATTCCTTTTTTTAGCAAGGATGAAATCGAGAAGGTACGTAAAGAACTTGCTCAAGTACAACGACTAGTTGCCAAAGATACAGCAAAACCAGTGACACAACAAGAGATCGACTATGTAAGTGAAGTGGAGGGAAAAATGTATATAATTTTAGGTCTATAGGCGATAAAATTACATATTAACTTTTTTCACTCCTGACATACTCAGTTACTTGTGAAGGATCAGTCCCCAAGATTCAGTTACTATAGCAATTCTTTTGTCTATTAAGTAGTAGTTTTGTTTTTCATCTTTCCATTACTTTTTTACGGTTAAAGCAGCAAATGATTGTTAAAACTATATGTCATCTGTATGGGTTTTTTTATCTCCTTTCGAGGCACAATGTAATAAGGAGATGGAGATATACTTTGAAAAAGCTTGATCATTCTAAAATGCATTATTTGTTTCAATGATATTAATAATATAGAACATAAATGTAAAATTTCTTATGTTTAGTATTTCAATTTTTCTCTTTTCCTTACTGCCTAATTCCTGTCCGTAAACGTATTGTCTTAATTTTCAGCTGCACAATGAACTTCAGACAGTAAAAGAGATGAATGAGTTAATTATAGCTCACATTGAATATCCGTCTGAACCGAAAGTTCCACAAGTTGTTCAACGTAACAGAAAACCACATTAAAACTGTTGCTCGTCAAATTTGTATACCTATTTAATATCTGGGTATTTATAAAAATTCGAAGCTATACAATAATTAGTATAGTTATCACTTTTCGATCCAAAAATTCTTGCTTTTTAATAATTTAGAAATTTTAGGCAATTCTTAGTAACACTTATTTTCTAATAGTAGCTTGACAGAAAAATTACACATAACATGTGATGGGTTGATAAGTATTTTATATTTTATTATCTTGTAAATAGCTTTTTTATAGCTTCTTGTTTTAGCATTTGGTGAGAAAAGTTACTGACTATTTTAACTGATATCCAAATAATTCTTTTCCTTTATCCTAAATCTATAACTTCCAAGAAAATCACATATCCTTTTCTTACCAGATTAAACTTGTTATTTTAACTATGCCCATGTTCTCTTCCTCTATTTATTTCAAAAAATCAACATCTGCTAAATTGCATATTTTCTTGCTATAGCAACAACCACCCGATGAGCCCAATGAGCCCAATGAGCCCGATGAGTAAAATTCTTATGTGGTATTGTATTTTCTTCTGATCACTGAACATTAGCCATCCATGGTAAATATTGCTAATTTTTGATAATTGTGCTAATTGCTTCATGCTTACACTCATACCCTAATATTTCACTAACAGTGTTGTCGCTTAACTTTCGCTTTTGTTGTACGATGACGTAACTCTTATAGTTTCGTTTCAAATGTTTTTTTTATACATTCACGTTGACGTTTGTGCAGATTGAAAGACATAATATGATTATATTACGATAAAAATTCAGCATAAAGTACTGAATAATTCAAGAATTTTAGTTGTCCTACAATGCTGTTCATAACGTAAAAAGAACCGGTTCGGTTTTAAAGTAAATTAGATATCTAAATCTACACACTAATACGGACATATATTCAAATATTTTTGCTTTACCTTTGGGCATGTGTAATATTTTTCAAATTGAGCTGTCAGAAAAATCACTTGTGTTATACAAAGGTCAGCAGATTTCTCTAAATGGAGGTGAATTTCAAGAATCGTCTGTAGCGATTTAAATTACGACTCTCACACAAAAAGAATTCATTAGTTCATAAGAAAAATGTACTTCAAGTACTAAAATCGTCATTAAGACATTGATGTTTGTGGAAAATACTTAGAATATTTTAAGACAAAGACGTATACAGATACGCTACGTCATACTTGGACGAGTATATGTAAAAGTCTATAAAATCGATTGTTTGAGAAAATGGAAACTATTCATTTCTTAAACAGTTGCTGGATCTTAAAGTAAGAAAAAAAGCTATGTTCAATAATAATACTCTACTGACTTTGTGTAAAATTTTCTTATTAATCTATTTATCTGTTATTTTAGATCTACGTTGCTAAAATATATCTGTTTGCAACATCTATCACTATTACCTCTTCAGTATCATCTTCAAAATATTTATCAAATCACCAATCTTCCAATAGATTTACATCAATTTGATTATTTTCCTACATATTCACAACGAAATCACACAGTGCTGTTTTTAATTTTATGCGTGCTTGTATATGTTTGTGATTGCTTTTAAGAGATCTGATACTAGTGCTATTTATTGCTTTTTACGCCGAGCTTTTTATTAATCAATTATTTATAATACTAAATGAATGATCTCAGTGTTTACACTTTTTTTTTGTCCGGTGCATTAGCCATTGTTGTTGTTGTAAAATAAACTGATACAATTCTGATATTTTCCAATATGGCCTGACACTAAAAATAGTTTGTGTATGATCTAAGCTCTATAGATTGGGACAATTTCATAATGTGAGATAATATTCATATTTATTTTACCCAAAAACAACAAAACATTGAATAACTTAATAAACACACCACATAAAACTATAATTTGCAAACAAAAATAATTAATAAACATACGCCAAAATGATGCTATGTGCAAATAATACAATTTAACGACAAATTCACAGACTACAATAGTAGACAAAAACTATAAAGATGTTCTAGGTAATGTTATGCTTTGTCCAACATATCGTAAAAATATTTGCAAAATTTTATGCTATAAAACAAAGTACACAAAATAACGTAATTACATGTTTGACATTAAAACCTAGATAAAAATTTCCTCATAGTCGAATGAATATTTATTTCATATGTAACATAGAGACAATAATTATAAAAGAAAAATTATCACACATGCGATCAATAAAGTGATGGAGATAGAAAATTAACTCATATTGCACTCTTACCAAACATTATGCTTTACTTGTCCTGTATTTTTTTGAGCACCTCCTGGTAAGAAAGGTGTAGTGACAACTGGTGTTTGTCGTTTATCTTTGGTTAAGTCATCTTGTTCTTTTTTACGAATCCACTTTTCGTATTCTGCTTGTGCATTCATAAATTTGTTCTCTTCATTTTCATGTAATTTTTTTAATTCGCCTTTTTTCGATTCTTTTTGTGTTTTAGTTTTCTGTTCTATATATTGTTCCTTTTTCTCTTTCCACATTTCGTAGGCTTTGTTAGCTGACAAAAGTTTCTTTTGTTTTTCTTCTTGTTGCTTTTCCAAATAAGCTTTTTGTTCTTGCTCTTCTTTGAGTTTTTGTGCCGATGTTTCTACTTTGTTTTTTTTCCATGCCTCGAAATTTGTCTTTGCTTCTGTTATTTTGTCAACTTGTACATTTTTACGCTTTTCAGCTTCTTCTTGTTTAAATTGAATTTTCTCTAAATTTTTTTGATGTACTTCTTCTGCTTTCTTTTGACGCCATTGTTCAAGATTTTGTGCATCTTGTAATAGTTTTTTTTCTATTTGATCTCTATCTATTTTTTTCAATTTTTCTTTCTCCCACTGGGCATATTCTTGTTTCTCACGTCGTTTTGTTTCCGTTTTTTCTTTTAGCCATTCTAAGTAAACACTATCAACAATAGTTTGGCTCGAGTCCGCTCGTTTCATACTTGTATCAAGATCATCAAAATTAATTGATAAATTTGTGTTTATACGTGGTTGAACATTACTATATTTTTTACTAGGCGTTAAAGTCGTTGTTGTTGTCGATCGCAAACTTGCTCTAGCACTATTTGGTCGTTGAGCTTTCAATGCATTTGTCATTGAACGTTGTAGAGCCTTTTCAACTGAACGTGTTAAATCAATATTATTTGTGCTCGATCGACGTCCCGAATCAATCCGTGCTTGAATATCACGATAACGAGATGGCGTTTTTATTGTACGGGTGCGATGATGACCTCCTGTATTTACTCGTTTTTGTGCGTGATCCGCTTTCGGTGGTAAATGAACAGGTGCAGTCACTTTAGCTAGTGAATCGTTTAATTTCAAACCATCAGTTGATGGCGGCGTATTTGCCTGCACAACATTATCAATCGCCGATTGATTAATTTGAGATTGATAAGTTTGGTGAGCGGATGATGGACGCCTGTTTGTATGGTTTTGTAGTGATTGTTCTTGGTGTTGAGAGTTTGCAATTACATTCTCTGGTTCATCACAAATAGATGTACGTTCTATCTGGTCATCTTGCATTTTTGTAGTTTTAGCTGAACCTGGACGAGATGAAGGACGATTGCTTCCTTCACGATTCCAGTTCGTAACTTTTGTTGACTAAAGCAAACAAAAAATATTTTAGTACGGTTTGGGAATCTTATAGAGTCTTGGTCTTTTACTATTAGAAAATAGATGAAGCCTCTGTAATCCTTAAAATTCTTACATGGTCATGGTCTCGGTTGTCAGCGTCAACAAGATTATCACTTGACATTCGTTTTTGTGCTTTTGAACTATCAATAAATCGTTTCGATTGAGAAGCCTGATCTATCACATCGTCATTATCACTGTCACTTTGCTCTTTTACACTACTTTTTCGACTACCATGTTTATCTGCTATATGTTGTTGCTGTCTTGCTTTAATTTGTGGACGACGATCCATATCGAATATATCTGCTTCGGGTGAACGTCGTCTGTTTTTAGGATTCGATTCAAGATTTCTTAGCCATTCATCATCGTTTAGCTGTTGAATATTTCCTTTTGAACTTCTAGGACTTTTCATTCCTGTACTAAATACATTGTTATCAGCATCAAATCCGTACGATGGGGAATGGAGAGGAGATTTTTTATCACTATCTCGTCCTCGAGAGGGTGTACTTGGTCTTTCATTTTTTTCGGTGTTTGTATTACTCTTCAAAAATGAACGTGCTTTTGGTGTAGGTGTACCAGATAGAGTAGAATCACTTCGCTGTGTACTCTTTTTTGTATAATCATCGTTGAGACTATCATCGTCATCGTCACCAATGCCTTCTAAATTTAGATTATGATGTGGTTCATTAATTTTATTTCGTTGTTGAATTTTCGTCTGACTTGATCGATTCGGAGTGGTAGTATTAGCAGTGGCACTGCCCGATTTAGTAAATCGTTGAGTGTGGAATAATGGCGATGAATTCTCATCATCTGATGACGATAGTTCTCTAGCCCTGTGCATTTGAGGAAACAGTTTCCGTAATGCTTAACTAATTACATGTGGTAATACTGTTAAACCTTAATCTTTGGTAGCAATTCTCTTAAATGATTTTCAACCATTACACTGTTAACGCTTTTATTCTGTCATAGCGATTGCTCAGAAGAGAAAGTAATAATATTCATAAAGTTTTCCGAGTAGTCTCATAAAGCCATAAAAATATTTGACAGAGATACTAAAGGGCATTAAATATAAATCAAACATAAACTGAACTGAGGCTTACACAATATACAGATGTCTACTGCTGTGTTTCATTGGTCGATTATAACCAATGAAGAAAAATTGACCACTGCTGGCATTAATCAGACCATATTTAGGTTATAATGACTACTGAAACGATAACATTAACAGAAGAAGAAATAAAGGTCCTGCGGCGTCGCTAAAAAGTGCTTTTTCGTATTGAGCACACTCGAGAATGCACGGGAGAAAAAGCAGTTTCGGTACGTAAAAAGCAGTTTCGGTTTGTAACCGGTATTTTCGGTATGTAACCGGTATTTTCAGTTTTTAACCGGTATTTTCGCTACTCTTCCAAGATGACTCGTTAGTTCGAATCTATCTTTGGACTTTTTTTGGTATGTTTTTTGCAGAAACAGATAAATACCGCGCGAATAAACTTCTCGTAATAATTGTCAGTACCAAAAGGTTCTGAGCTAAACTATCTGACGTAGTATAATAAACAAGTAGTACGGTTTTATGATTGGGTAATAACAGCAAGAGTGACACTTATTGTCACCGCTTACTTCAGCAACGGACAGTGGTATTCTTAGAGGTTTGTACAACACGATTTTTTAAATTCGAAGTACAATTTTATGGTATCAAGTTTTCTCCATTATTGATGTGGAGTTTCGTGAACTCGCTTTAAACGATCCGATAATAAACGATGTTTCCTGTCTGCCAAAAACCAACAAGTGGTTTACTTGTGAATAAATCTTTCTTGGCTACCAATGTTAACCGTAAAATACGACTGTGCTAATTCTGGATTGATTTTTTTTTTATTAATTCGTTCTTCTTTTGTTGAGTTTCTCGTGGCTTGTTTGTTGTTGCTGAGTGTTGTCGTCGTCATCGGTGTTCGGCACTTCGTCGAAATCCTCCACTAGTTGTGTTTGATCCAGATTTTCCTCAACATCAGTTCCAGCTTCTTGTTCACTTTCTTCTTCCTCGTCAAATTCTTCATCATTGAACTGCGTTGTACATTGAGATGCAGCTGCGAAATCAGTGGTTACTCTTGTTGATCTTGATAGTCTGTTTTTAACGAATAAACTTTCTGTAGCAAAAAATGTTTGGCTTCTAATAGAGCATATGATTTGATTTTATATATTTTAGGTGATTTTTCGCTTACGTTTCGCTGACTGCCTTATCGAGACAGCAAAATCGAAGAAATTTGAAACAACCATTGGATATTCAGGGAGGCCAGTCAGAGGAGAACCCTTGACACTTGAATTAAGTCTAACTTTCCAAAAAAAGTTCAATTGGTATTTGGATATGTGAGCGGTATGTGAGTAGTATGTGTACCGTATTTTTTTCGGTATTAATACTGCTGTTTCCCCCTTGCACGATAACCAGTTCGATAAAAGTTGACTCGAAGATAGCGAGAAAATCCATCTAAAACATACCATTGTTATATCATTCTTTTCTGCAAGCATTAACACCCTGTAGATTGTTATTCTATACAAAACGTTAGTTTGGAAATGGTGACCGTTTCGGGAAAACTGCGTTTACTTTCAGAGCGTAAGTGGCGTCCGTTCCGACGTTTTATTCACGCTTTTTAATTGCGCGATGGACAAGTGGGTTTGTTTTTGTAATTTACCACCAAAAACTGGAAACCACTGTCTTATCTACGTGGTTTTAAAATTCCTGCTGTGTTTTTCACTGTAAATCTGATTGTAAATTGAATTGCAACTTTTAACGTCGATTCCGTAGTGGAAAAATTCATCATGACAAAAAATCTCTATTAAAAACACTGTTTTTGTGCTTTAGTTTAAGTTCCCAAGGATTGGTTTGAAAAGTAGTTAATAGGGACTTTTTTTTGTCTTCTGGAGAAATGCAGAGTTGGTCTGAGACACGCAGGCTTGAGGCGGGAGGAGCAAAATATTTTTAAAGATATTTTCTAAAAATTCAACTACTTTTCCAGAAATTTTTTTTTCGGGATCCACTGAAAATTTACCCCCCAATTCCTCCTCCCCACACATACTCGGACCACATCTGGGAGAATGGGGGATAAATCGATAAAATGGGAGTCTGTTCGCCTGGGGAGGGGACTTACTGAGACAAGCAGACTCAAACCAAGAGGAGAAAGTTTCTAAAAATTCATCTGATACTGATTTATAAAACGAAACCTTTTATCACTTAGTATTTACTCGCCTTAGATCTTTATTTGATTATTGGTCTTTCTTGATTTGTCTGTCTTTATTTTTTTATCTGAAATTTCTAAGCCTCGGCGCTTTACATTCAAAACGAATCATCTAGCTTAAAAAACTCGACGAAACATTTTGTTATGCATCTAAATATAAACTTGAATAGTTTTTATCACTTTATTTGTCATGAACTAATAATCCGAATAATCACACGAAAACACACTTAAAAACACAGCTATTTATTTATAAAATTCCCATATAGTTGAACATACGAGAAATAGATGGCAAAGAGTAATGACATCAATAGTACAGGAGATAATATAACGTAAGAAGAATAGAAAAGAACATGATTTGACGAAGGACAAAGAACAGTCACATTTCTTAACGTATGATAACACATGATGTCTTTATGACAAAACACATTCCATTTTAGATAAAAATGTCTCAGCAAGTTCCTGTTATTTTACGAGTCTTGTCAGCATCGCTCACATTGGCGAGTCGAGCGGGACAGTTAATAAAGTAAGCTTTTTCTAATATTGCTTGAATTTTCTATTTCATGTCTATCCTTTTCCTGTAGAGATGTAGTGAAATCCGGTACAAGTCTAGATATTATTGATAAAGTAGAGTATGTTGAACAAAAATTGAAACTATCCTTCTTTAATCTTCATATTAGCGTAGGGCAAGAATGATCCTCAAACAAGGGCTGACAGAGAGTCTGAACAATTAATTATATCTTCATTATCGAAACATTTTCCACATTTACAAATTCGTGGTGAAGAGGTCAATCATACATGGTAGTGCATGTTCTTCCCATATAAACTATCTTTGTTTTTAGAATATTCAAATACACACAACAAACAATACAACATTCGAAGAACTTGTTAATGTAAATAAAGATGTTTTACAAACAAAATGTCCAAATGAATTTAAAAATCTAGAAGAAAAAGATGTAATTCAAACTAGATCTTCGAACAATTACATTAATTCACATTTCAATTTCTTTCTTTGGCAGATAGTTGTTTGGGTTGATCCTCTTGATGGAACTCGAGAATTTACTGAAGGTAAACATTACCGTATTTCTGATTATACATCATAAAATTAATTTTTTTATTAACTTTTTTGTTTGTGTAGGTCGTCTCGAAGGTGTGACGGTGTTAATCGGAATTGCGACGCAAGGAAATCCTGTTGCTGGAGTAATACATCAACCGTATTTTAATTCAGGAGAAGGAAGAAATGTGTGGGGAATGATAAACTCTGGTAAATTGATTGTGATCTTCACTTTGTTTAAATTTAAGCCGATTCTTTTTTCTTTCTTCGTCTAGGTGTACATGGTCTGAATAAAAATCAACAACCATTACTAGGACGAATTATTGCAGGAAGTTTGTCACATCGATCTAAAACTGTTATGGAAGCTGTAAAAATCTGTGAGCCGACAGAAGTTATTCAAATTGGTGGCTGTGGATGTAAGGTAATGAGGTTCTTCTTTGTTAATACTTTTTTTGGGGTAAAAAACTATTGTGTATTGACTTGTTGTTTTTTTAGGTTTTATTGGTGTTAGATGGTAAAGCACATGCTTATATCCATGCTTCAAAAGGTAAAAAATTTATAGAAATAATCTTCAATGAAAAAACATCGCAGTATTTTTATACAAAAAAAACTTCCACCCAACACTATGTTTGGATTATTAACCAGATATTTATTGTAGGCTGTAGTCTTTGGGATACTTGTGCGCCTGACGCAATATTGAGAGCAGCTGGAGGAAGATTAACCGACGTGTTTGGCAAAGATATCTCGTATGATTTGAATGATAATACTTCGGTTCAAACGGGCGTCCTTGCAACAATGAATGATCATGATTGGTATACTCAACGTATTAGAGAGAAATTACAAAATCAGTTGTAATATGCCTCATAGTTTGCAAAACTAATTAAATTTTAGTATTGGAAAACATTTTCTATTTTTTAGAAATCTCATTTAGCCGCCCGTTTTGCTTTGTCTAATTTGTGCGATGAAAAACAATAATATACAAATATATCTATTTTAATAAATCCTATACAGAATACAATGTCAGTATCGAATTATTAAATCTGATTTTAGGAGGAACCCTCTCCACTCCGAGAATTCATTTTTTTTATAGAAAATCAAATCGAGATTTTTTGCATTGATCAACTTATTCCAAGACCTTCAATGTGAACGACCTTTTCCAACATTGAATGTCTGTATTTGTTTTGCAAATAATGCTTATGTTTCAACAGAATTCGCAGAATTCAAAGTGCTTGTGAAATAGTTGGTCATCTATTCCTGATCTTATGGCAAATAGTAACTCGATGTTTCAACGCGCTTAGAAATTTTTGGAAATATTGAAATCACTCAAACGCATCCATGAACTCTAGATGTACAACCAATAAGATAGACTGGTACCATTCCAGTACATCTTTGAAACAAATAACCAATCATCCATCCGCAACGTCAATTCCTAAAAAGTCTGTTAAAACAGGAAGATGATCGCTACCTTTATACATGAGGGAACGACACTGGACAACAGATATAGCATCTGATGAAAAAACTAAATCAATCGTCGTATCCGATCTCTACGAAGTTTTCATATCTAGTTCGTTCGTATCGAGCTACTTCGACAGAGCATTTCCTTTCGCATTAACCTGGAGACCCCCTCAATCAGCGTGTTTGGAATTTAAATCTCCAAAAAAATGGAATCCTTCAAACGACTTATTAACGAACACATGGTTGTAATAGGAAGAGGTTCGCTAGGAGGAGAACAAATTGAAGTTACTAAAAATGTTCTACTTTTTATTATGACTAAAACTGCTACTACATTAGGTATGCCAATATCTAGCGGAAATAATTTTAATTTTTTATCTACTGCGAGTACTGCTCCCTCATGCAAGTTAGTGTCTACTTTTACGAGGATATTGTACGAAAAAAGAAGTTTTTCTATTACCTTTGTGAGAACACCTGTACCTAATTCGTTAAGAGAGATGACTGAAGGTGAAAGCTGATCAGCCATCTCAACCAACTCACACTGATTAGAATAAAAGTACTGAATATTCTAGTGAAGTATCGAAAAGCTTTTTTGATGTGAAAAAAAAAATGAAAATTATGATGTGTAAATCAACTTAGTTACTGATAACAATGACGAAAGGTGTTTCGAGTTTTGTTTCCAGCTCTTTGTTGATAGACTGAAATGTTTTTCCTTAGAATCTGTATAGCACTTTATGAAAAATGAAGGTTTTGAGAGTTTTTCTCACATGACCTATTCCGTCAAACATCTTTTACATTTTCTCAAAAGACATATCTCGCGCAGTAAGGTGCATTTTTCTCCAAAATGACTTAGTGTAATTTGATGAACTTTTTTTATGTTTAATAGCAAAAATATAAATGCACCAAGTGACAGATCATTTTTTTTGAAGTTCGCTTTCGTTACTGAGAAAAGTGTATTTTACTAATGAGAGTGGTTGAAATTAAAAAAATTTCAACTCAAAAACTAATGAAGACGCAAGTCAACAAAACTATCCATCACTTTTTTGATTTAGGTGTCTAGTTTCATTTAAAACAAACTCGAACTTCGTAGCCACTACTCATTCTTGGAAACAGGTATCTTACAAACAGTCCTATTTTGTGCATTGTGACACTTATAATTCATAAATAACTGAATGTTTTGGGCTGATATTTTTATCATAACGTTTTCGTGCCATAAAGGGTGGCTCAGAAAAAACTGGATACTTTTATTTTATTTTTTTATAGCATTTAGCTTGAAAGTTTAAAAAGTTGGTTCTATTCTTCTATGCTCGTTCAATAGAAAATTAATCGCTCTACACTACTGTTGGACTGAATTCCCGATCAAATTTTCTCCCACTAGGCAGTATTTACAACATTAATATATACTCAATGTTTCTACTGCAATGCGCAAGTTTGTCATTATTTTAAAAAAGACGGACATTCATCAAATAGAATCTTGAAAATAAAGTTTTCTATATCAAAAGCTAGAGAATTTTGGCCTCTATTGCCTTAGCTGGTTTTAGAGATTCTGTATATTGTATTTCTAGCTTGCAAAGTCTACAACTAATTTTTTTGATAGCGATTTTTGACAAAAGTTAAGAAAGATTAGACTTTTAAACCCAAAGCTTGATTTTTATTTTTACACTCCTAAGTGCAGAATTAAATTCTCTACAAAACCATGTGACCTGTGAGTGAAAGTCCGATAGACTTTTAGACGATATTCTCTCAAAACTGAACACTACGACAGATCTGTCAGAAAAATCTGTTTTTTTTGACATTTTTTAATCTCAAATTTTCCCAAAAGAATTTGTTCTAAAATTCCAAAATATACGCAGAAGATGCAGAATTTTTCTGGTATACTTGGAATGTGACCTCTTTCTGATAATTTTGTACAGTTTTTTCATTTATGATAATGTTGCAGTAGGAACATTGAGCCTATACTAATGTTGTAAATACTGCTCACGATGGAACCTTTCGAACTGTACCTCGCTTTTTCAGCCAAACCTAGTGGGTTATAGGTATTAGACCACGCTGATTCCGAATATGAACATGAGAGCTGCCCTTAGGCCTTCGAAGAGCCGGTTCAGAAACTCTAAAATATAACCAAAACCTTTCTTAATGAGCCATGATTGTAGCCCGCACATTTCTGATTAAAATGAGACCTCTCCCAGCTCTACTTTTTAGAGTTTCTGAAAAACTTGTTTTCCAGAAAACTGGCTCTTTGAAGGCCTAAGGGCAGCTCTCATGTTCATATTCGAAATTAGCGTGGTCGAATACCTATAACCTATTGGGTTTGGCTGCAAAAACGGGGGAACAGTTCGAAATGTTCCTTCTTTAGTGGAAGAAAACTTGTTTGTTGTTTGAATCCAGATCAACAATATTGTAGAGTGATTAATTCTTTGTTGAATGAGCACAGAAGTCTTTAAACTTTCAAACTAAGGGCCATAAAAAAATAAAATAAAAATGCTCAGTTTTTTCTGGACTATCCTTCTCTTCCGTTAATCTCTCATCCATGAAAAATTTCGTGTTAAAAAATTTTTTTCTGTGAAGAAATCATCCTTAAAAAGACTAAAAAATATTCTAGAGTTCAAAATACAAATTCTATTTTCAGTTATTTACTTCTCGTAAACAAACTATTGTATCCTGGATATATATCTTCGTTTTACATATTCAATTTACTTTTTATTTATTTCTTATTTCATTGAATTTTTCTTCGTTATGAGATAGATGAGACTATTTATGTTCTACATCTGAGAATGATCGATTTGTCTTTCTTAAATTTATTATGTTCTAAAATGATTAAAAATTTAAATGTGATAAAAATATCTGTATACAAAATGTAGGAATAAACAAATTTCAACTAAACATGAATTATACATATTGTACATAAATTTTGTTCCTCTAAGGCATACTTAATAAATAGAGAAGTTTACAGGTGTAAATATATAATTATAGTCATATATGTATAATTACAATGAGACTAACTAAATCGTGGACAAAAAAAAAAAACTCTATGTTTATGATGTTGTCATTTAACAGTTTTTCTTGTGTGATGATGTAATAAACTTATTCAATTATTATTTTCATTGCTGAAAGGGTTCATACTATTTTATATCTATTAGTAGTCAACTTAGCAACGATTGATCACCGTATGTCATGAACGTGTGTGTACATTGCCCTCTTTTTTGATTAATTATAATTATAATTGCATATTTGTCTAATCAACTTTACACCTTTTCTTACCTATGGAGAGATTGTACTCATTGATTGTATATGTTCAATTTTTTGACCTTCTGTTCGTCATTTTTAAGTTTAGTGACAAATATCTGTTGATGTGGAAAATGAGTTAAAATGGAAAGGACCTATCATCATCACTTTTGGAATTTTTTGAAATATAAAGAGGAGGATACGAAATTTAATCTTACTCTATTAATTTTAGTAGAAAAGAAGGTGTCTGTTTACACAAATCAAATCATCAATTCTTTTTTTTTTGTATTCTTTATCTAGATGATTATCGTTTACTATCTTTCATTTATCGATTGACAATTTTTTAAACAGAATTTGACACAGTAATGTCAATCTATTTTGCTTTTTCTTTTTTTTTTTTTTTTTCACTATATAATTCTAAATGGACATTCTGTCGTCTCTTTAACATGTCAGATAGGATGACACAATGGAATCATCGTTTTATCTCTGATGTTTACATATGGCACAATTATTTTGAATGTCATTCAGTTAAAAGATAATGATAATCAAATCTCGGTAATGTAGTCAACGTTTTGTTTTTTTTGAGATATTTTTGTTCATGGTTTTTTTTTCTTTTAGCACTTCAATACACAGTTTCTTTTCTTTTGAAAATATTTTCCTATCAATCATTTATATTTCGAACATCCTTTTTACGCATTGTGTTATATTCAAAATTAAAATTCTGTTATTGCAACATAAATATTGACTTTTCTTTTTAAAACAGCTGTTTTAACTACATGTATACGAAACAAAAGAGAAAAAAAGAAAATATATATACACATACTAAGCTACATGCGTTATACCATTGACATAAAAATCTTGAAATGAATAACCTGACGATCCTGAATGTCCATTCGAAGAAGAAGATGAATCATGTCCTGATAATGTTCCTGCACTTTTTCCTAAATTTTGTGCAACAGCAGCTGCTGCTGCACTAGCTGCAAGTTGATCAAAAAATGCTGATGTTGGTGAATATAAAAACGATTCAAAACGATGACCGCCTAACTTTGAATTTAAAATATCGGTAGGTGTGACTGGTAATGGACGTTTGATGCTTCCATTTTGATTAGCTGAAACAGATGATATGACGGGTGTTGGAGTATTTTGTGAAACGGCATTTTGTAATACGGCACTTACAGCATTAACAGATTGACTAGCTTCAACAATTTGTCTTTTCAGTTTATTACGACGATTTTGAAACCATATTTTAACTTGTTGTTCGGTTAGATGTAAAGCTTGAGCGAGATTTGCACGATCAGCACTAGATAAATAACGTTTCATATCAAATGTAGCTTCTAATTGAAATATTTGTGATCGAGAAAAGACTGTACGTGTTTTCTTTTTACGATGCATCATTTCGTGTATATCGTGTCTATCGGAATGATAATTATTACCATGACTCTGAATACTGTCGAGTGGATACTGTCGAGATGATAACGAATACTCGACATCATCTGAATCTTTTGAATAATCATCGTCTAAACTTTCATCGATTTCATCTGACGATGTGTGACAATCAGATGTTTGTGCATCCACGGATGATCGTAAATTCTTAATTTTAGGACTTTGTTCAGTTTTTTGATGATGATGATGATATGATGGAATTAATAGACTAACTTCATTTGACGTTTGAGATAAAGAAATTCCATCATTAGGATAAGTTGATTTCAGATAATTTTTACTATCTATTTCTTTACTGTCTCTAACAAGATGTAAACCTAAATCAGATGGTAATCTCGGTTGATTTTCATTTATTAATTTTTGACGTCCTAAACAGAAACACATCATATTTTAAGATTTGATTTTACTCTCAATCATTGGTCTCATTTTTCTCACTATTTAATTTTATGAGAAAATGAAATTCTTACAACAATTGTTTCCTCTTATTTGTTTTTTCAGATAGTTTCTACTTTAGATTATTTGAAGAAAAACAACTGTGTATTATATAAAAAAATATTCTGAAAAATGTTTTCCTTTTTTATTCGGTTATTTTTTGTTTTATTTAATGATTTGATCTGATGAAAAAGTCTTTTTAACATTCTTTCTCTTTCAAAACTTACCATTTGTTAATGATAGTAGACGTTTTGAACAATTTGAATTGTTTTTAATTAATTTATAATTGTTATTATTTAATGTATGAAGAATGGCATTTGTTTTTGATAATGGATCAATCATTGTATCATTTTTTTCTAGTATACTGTCAATTGAAAATGATAATTTTTTTAATGAATCGGATTTTGTTGGTGATACAAGTTCATTAGTAGACATAATATTGGCACTAGTATTTTGTTTGATATCGGATATTATTATTTTACTGTTCAATAGTGAATCATTACATTGTTGTTCATCCATCATCAATTCTTATCACAACAAGAAGAAGAAGAAACGATAATAATAATATTAACTGCAAAATGTTTTCGGTTTTTTGTTTTGTTTTTTTTCTCTAGCCAGACCCTCTCGCTCTATTTAGTAAAAAAAAAATTTTCTCATATAACGGAAATTATCTTTCTTTTGCTCTCTCTCTCTCTCTCTTTCTCTCTTTTTCTCTCTATCGTTTTCATTCGTTTCTTAATCATTTATAATCTTTTTATCCGTATAGATATAAAATAGAAAAACGTTTCTCTTCAATTTTATCTCAATTATATACCCGTTGTGTTTTTAACCCAATCGAACTTTTCTTTTTTTCATTCTGTTTAATAGTTTATAAAGGACCAATGATAAATCTTGTTTTATAATCGTTTTTAATTGACCAATGATTGTCGACGATTTCATTCTGCTTTTGTTCTTTGTTCTTCTAATTTCAATTATAAACGATAAAAGTATTGGTAAGAAACATACACATTAGTAATAAATGAAAATTGAAAAGATGTGACATTGTCAAATGAACAGGAAATAAATTGATGGACTAGCTTTTAGTTCATAAGGTGATAATTAACATCATTCATTCAATTTGTGCGTGATAAAAATAAAAATTTTATCTTGTAAAAAATCCTACTACTATGAATGAATATAGAACAATAAAAAACAATATGGGTGATCAACGAATGATATCTTAGTTGTTATTGGACTGGTTATATTATTAATAACTTTAATCTACTGAATTTACACTAAGAGAACAGACATATTTTTGTTCTATGGAGTTATTTTATTGACTATTTATCGTTAAAATGTTAACTTTGAATAGTACTATTATATTGATGTAAACAAAAAAAGAAATCTAACATATTTCATCAAATCTCAATAATTTTTCAGATAAATTTTAGAGTATACAATAGTTTGAAAACAACCTTTTACCCCAAAAATTGTATCTATTTAAAAAGAGGTTTATATCTCCAACCTAAAAATGCAATAAAACAGGCATAGTTAAACTGATAGTCTAAGTTATTGAATATCAAGTGAAAAAGCTCTTTTTATTCACATATTTTCATGGAAAGAATCGATCGATATTGAAATTGATAATAGAAAACTTGATTTATGACATTATGGTTCTATATCTGTCAGCATGTCTATTGATACTATTCATATTTGTCTATCTATCGTTGAGAAACATATAATTGTCTTTTTTTTACATCTGCGTTTACAATTTTCGATCTTTTTATGAATTATTTTATTGAAAATTGTACTATACATCGCTTTATGTAAGATATTTTCATATACAAGACAGCATCAGATGAGGCTATGTCTACAATTTTGATTGAAAATCGACATTTAAATGAAAAGAAACATTTTGACTAATATTTCCATGGATATATGATCAGTTCGTCTTGTACAGCCGTAAATGTTTTGTTTGTATCTCATGACATACATAGCTAGATTTATGGGTATTAGTTAATCTCTAAATATGAATTTGAGAGTGATTATTTACTAATAAATGAAAAAGTGTATATCATTTTTTCTTGTGGAAGAGATAAATATATATATATATATATATATGTTGTTTTTTTCTGAACCATCTTTATATGTTTGACCTTTCTGCCTTTCTGTTATGGTTTGTATCGTTTTTTTTCATTTTCTATATTAATGAATGTTAATAGTCGGTGACAAATTTAAACATTATAGTTGATACACTAATGGTTTTGGTTGTAGAGAGAATATTGTTGCTAATAGATTGTCATTTGATAATGTAGTTTTTCTCTTCATTGACAATAAATAAGATTACTAATACGATTTGACGAGCCAAACGAAGAAAAAAAAAAAACGATTTTTCTAATGTAAAAGAGCGTAATGTATTGACAATATAATGTTTGATTTGGTTTTAAAGTATTCAGATAGTTTATTGATTAATATATCCATTTCTTCTTCTTCTTTCTATTTTCACCTATACGCATCAATGGTATAAGCCAAATAGTTAGTTACATTTTTAACTCGATTATGATTAGATTTTTACATAATATGCAAAGAATGACAATAAATTATGATGAGAAAAAAAAGTGATTTTCTATTCTTAAATATGACAAGTAAAATCTTGCAAATTAGACATTTCAACTCATACGTCTGTCCTTGTAAAGGAATTGATAGATACTGTTCAACATCTGTTTAGAAATCTAAGACTACAAAAAAATTAGAATTTAAAAAGTTTGATGAATGTTAAAAATAATGGGGAAAAAATTTCACATAGAATAATAAAAACTATGTAATAAAATTAAAAATACATAGTTTAATGATAATTTGTTTTATAGTAGAAAAATGGCATTCTTTCTATCGTTTTTCAAATCATAACATTATAGAAAATATGTTTTTTTATTCATTTTACTTTTTTTCCTTATGGCTATAAACGTTTTGAGATTAAAAAACAAAGAATTCATTTTTCATGTTTGACATGCGATGCTCCTAAGGTTTTTTTCGCCAGATGATATGGTCTTATTTTATTATATAAAAAGAAACAGAGAAATGGATAAGAACTATGTAGTCAAATGACGTTCAACTATGATAATATGTATGATCTTGTTAGAATTTTTCTTTTCTTTTTACCTTTTCTTTTTTTTTACGAGTTCAATTACTATCATGCTGTTTATCTTAATTACATTGATAGTCGTGTTTCTCTCTTTCCTTTTCTTTTCTATTTCCCCTTGTACGACAGGCAGGCGTCAGTTATTAAGCATACAATCAAAATTAAAACGGTACTCATTACAAATAGAAGAAGAAAAAGAAGAAAATATAATTTGAATAAGTACTACCGGTAACTAAAAACCATTTCAATTCAATGATGAACACAGTTATTACTAATTATCTTCCAAAATTTTCTTCTTTTTTTTTTTTTTTTAAGTATAAATCTTATAAAAGACAACTAACACGAAAAAAATTGTTAGTTTTCATTAGTAATATAATAATAATCTCGTACATAAGTATCATTAGTTAGTCTCTTCAAACTTCTGAAATGTTTATTATTGTATTATGATCAAGGTGTTTCGAGCATCATGTTTTCAACTGATAGTTAAAATATATCCATATATGATTTATCATGATATCTATTGGTTATCTATTTAGTCCATTAATGTTTTAATCATTTACCTATGAATTTTGTAGAAAAGAAAAAAAAGATGAAATCAAGCGATAATAATATGTTGTATGCATACAAAGTGAATAGAGAACCAATAGACATCAGTGGTATACATCCTGTAATACATTTGAGAAAAAAACTATAGGATACATTTTTGAATTTATAGAACTCTGACTAAAAAGGAAGAAAGAAACTAAGTGAACGACAAACTATTGTAATACTGGAATTTTATACGATAAATCTTAATCCATTATGTACAACATTAAAAGTAAACTCAGCAGTATTTTTCATTTCTACAGGTGAAATTCGTTCACATTAGACTGATACAAAATGGTAATGACTCTAATCGTCTCAAATCTCTAGAGAACAGAAGATGAACGTAACCGATAGACATCTGATAACTTTATTGAAAAACATGACAATATATACCCAAAATTGAAATTAATTAATTAATTAATTCAACGATGCATGTCTTTTTTGTGACGTTCAAAAAATAGTTTGGGGTATCTTCTAGTTTAAATATAATACGAGTCGAAAATAATTCCCTCAAACGTCATTCGTTCATTTTTTTTTAAATCCATCTCTTATTCTTCTACCATTTGATTTGATTAGCAATTTAAATGCAAGTAATCAAAAAAAAAAAAGATGCGACTTTGTACGTCTTATAAAACGCTCTAAATCTAGATGACATTTGATCTAATTGTATTTTAGATGCACTTCAGTAATTTATTTCTAGTGCGCATAGAGAAAAAGAAAAAGAAAAAAATCTCAAATCAAAAACGTCAATCTTCGCGTCGTAAAGCAAATGATAGTTTCACTTTTAAATACATAAAAAGAACAAGAGATTGACACACACACACACACACGCATACAAAGAAATCTTCTAGTTTTTCTAATAGGAAAATATACTAATTTCAAAGAAAAATTCTTTTCTCTTGGGGTATACATCTAATGTCTTCTATGTCAACAGATAACAGATTTTTCGTCATTTTCTAATTAAGAAACGATTCATTTTACAAAATTAACTAAAAAAAAAAAGTTTCACTCAAATACTTTATTTGAAAAGACTTGAAATATACCGGTTTCTATTGGACAAGTTATTTTTGTTATTCTAACAATGTACAAATCGTTATTATTAAAATGTACAACAATTTTGTCATTTAGAATGTATGTGTTTACGAGCGGTATTAGTTCAATGACATAAGTACAATTTTCTTACATGTTTATCTTATTTGTCATCATCATTAGATCGTACTAAAAAGCAATAGCAAGATGAAAAAAACACATCGTATCCATTTAACAGGATTTATTCGTCTCGGCATCATCATAATTATCAGTAACAAGAAAAGAAAAAAAAAAGTGATATGATATATAGAACTTGTTTTAATGATTCTAACTATATATAGTTATGAGAAAATTATTCTTGTTAAACTGTGTTATATGAAAAGAATTTGATTATCAAATAGAACACCATGTAAAACAATATCAATTGAAAAAACAAAATGATAAATAACTACCGCTTGCATGGGAAAATTCTGTATGCTCATTTAACCTCAAAGCATTAGAATAGTCATTCACAATATAGAGGAACCATTAAGAAATAGGAGAATATTTTTTGTGTACTTCAAATTGTTTATTGCTCGCTATTAGAAACTGTGAAAGATTGGACAAAATGATTGCTTAAAGATTTGTAAAATTAAATCAAATGTCTTAGAATACACTCTAACCATAAAGTATAGAGTTTTTTAATTTATAGTTTTGAGACTGTTCGAATATTTGATAATAGTCCAACATTTTTGATATTTATACCTGATATTTTTATTAGCATACGTTCTCTTTTACCACAAAAATT